CACCAAACACTTCTTCTGACTTGGAGGCGATGTGCCGTTGTGTACAAGAAGAAAAAATAAAAAATCTGGAGAGTGTTTGAGTTTCAGTGAAAGAATCATAAAATAAAAAAGTATTGTCTGGATTAGACTCATTTTGAGGTATCAATGTGGTTTTCAAAACTTCCGTGAAATTGATATCTTCAATTGTTTTGTGGTTGCTTCCAAGAAGTCTTTCTTGTAGTCTGGTTATATATTTATTAATTGATCTATGGTCTTTTATTGACATGTTTGAACAAAAATTGTGTGTCATGACTCTTTTTGTTATTTCACGCGGAGTATCACTTAGACCTTTAACAAATTCTATATCTGCGGCTTCTCTTCGACATCTTGACAAAAATAAACGTTCGTGATCAAAAATACAAGTATGATTTCCAACAATATAATAATTATTATCTTTTACATGTACTGTTACATTACAGTTATTTCCAGCACATTCAAAAACAATATCATTTTTCGATTTGTCCCATTTGGCACGTTGAAAGAAACATATTATTCCAATACACAATACTGGATGTCGCTTTGGTTTTTCATTGAGTTCTTTAAAGAAGCGAAGAGGTTCTTTTGTCATTTGAAATAAATCTGAATAAATTAATTGTAAATGTATTAAATAAACAAAATGTTATATAAAATATGTTTATAAATATATAAGTGTATAATTGTAAAAATAGAGTTTAATTTGAAATAATAAATTGGTTCAAACATCTTGAAATCTAAAATGCATTCAAACATTGACACCAAAATAATTATCAAAAATAAAATATCTTTTATTAAAATTGATAGTATTTATTTTCAATTTCCAGCTATTGTATTTACAATATTCCATATATAATATATATTATTTAATAATTGTTTAGCTGGAAGTACAAAATATGAAAAGATTAATTTTTCTTTTTATAGATGTTTTATTTCTGAAAAAAATCTCTTATTCTTATTATTTTTGTATAAATTAATCAACACAAATGATATACAATTGTAATTTCAAGTATTTTAAATAAATTTCAATTTAATTTTAATTAATTTAAAATATTATTTTTATAAAAAATATGTAAAATGCACACAAATTATACCAATATATTATATTTTTTATAATTTCTATTTTTATTCAAACGTATGTTTGTTTTGTATTTTACAATTTTACAATATTAATAACATTGTTTTCTAATTATAAAATAAAAATAATATTTATAGAAAATATATATTTTATTGTTATAAATACAAAATATTTTGAGGGTTTCGACAAATGTCTTAGTTGATAATTGTCAAAGTTGACAAATGTCTTGTAATCCTACAAGTTTCCATTATAACAATAGAATTATGATATTCAAAAATTGTAGTACACAAGACGAATTAATAAAAAGAGTTTATTTTAATTATATCAATGGTTAATTAAAAAAATCAACATGAATTTGTGTGTTTTTAATGATCAGCTAAAGTAAAAAATGAATCAACAGTAATAATTGTTATATTAAACCATTATAAATAGTTTACAGTGTTATATAGTAAATTTGTTTATATTTAATTGTATTTTCAGGGTTTAAGACAAAACACAACCTGTTCACAACTAGATAAATATTTAAAGTGTGTTTAAACACGTAAGTGTGTTTTAGCTTTATGGTTTGTTTATTTATTTATTATCAATGCAGTTATTTCAAATTTGTTTTATTGACGTTTAGATTAATAAATGTGGCTCATTATTACATTTTGGTTTGTGTTTTACATACGCAGGCCGGTCGTGAAGGATGTGAAACACAATTCAAAGTATCGTAAATCATTTTTATGTTGAGTGTTGTTTGAATAATAACAAAATAATGATTAATTTATTATATACATGAATAATATAATTTATAGTAAATAATTAATATTGTTATAATTTTTTGTGTTGAAAATTATAATATATTTTATAATATTGTAACTATTATATTAACTATATTTTCCTTTTCCAAAAATCATGACTGTGTTGCAAATAGTGGTTTTTGTCCAGATTTACTTGTTTTTTTGTTGTAGTTATTACTCATTAAATGGCTTAAATTTAATGAAATAAATGTTAGTTCGTTTTTAGCCAAAATATTAAAAGAAAATGAACCCTAAATTAATATATTCGCTTTCATATTAATACCTTCATTTTCACCCCTGTACAACTAGTTTATATTAATTATAATTATTTATGAAAAATTGGCATAAGGTGCAGTTACCACACTATATTTACTGTTTTGTTTTATTAATTTATATAAAAATGGCAATATTTCCATTAATATAAAAAACCAGCTACAACAGTCTAAAATTGTATAAATTTGCAGGCACTTGTCATGTTTTAAAAAAATTCGTTTTTCTTGGAATTTACAAATTGAAGAAACCCATTAACAGAATTTCCCAAAGTAATCAAAAAATAGTAGCAGATTTGATTTATTTTTGGTTCTTCCAAGCCTTCTCAAAACTGTTAAATAAATTAAAGATCAAAACGTTAAAAACATATTTACTTGTTTTGCCTTTGAACAAAGTAAAAATACAAAAAATAAACCTAAAGTTTTATTTTAGATAACGATTTCAAACAATTTATTATTCAATAAAATATGTTTTTTTGTTTTATATGAAACTACTATAATATATATGTAATTAAATTAATTATTTTACTTATGTAAAAATAATAAACCTTAATTTATTGGTAAAATAATAAGCATAAAAATCCCTATTTTGTTTGTACAAAAATTGTCAAATATTTTGAATTTCAAAATATATAAATAAAAACACCAAATTCGCTTGAAAACCACTTATTGCCAGACCAAATTTCAAAAATGTTTTTTTTATATTTAAATTATATATAATAAAAACATATTTGAGAATAATTAAAACAACTAAGATATACCATTGACAATAAAAAACTATATATATAATAAAAATTATTAATATTTTAAATGATTTTTATAATATTTTTAAATATGCCATTTAAAAAACAATTCAATTATAAATATAAAAAATAAAAATACAACAACAAATTACTTTTTTTTTAAATAAAATGAAAATCAATTATATTAATTGTTTTAATCTATAATATATAGTTTTAAACGAGACCAGAATTGTGATTGCCATAATTATTGTTGCTTTATTATAATAATAAATTATAGAAAATATAATTATAATTGTAATTTGTGCTATAAAAGAACGATCTGAGAACAAATATAAACAATAAAAATGACTTGAATAAAAACCCTTTCAAGGCTCGAGAAAGGTTTTGATGTTGGCCTACTGGCCCACAATAAAGTACACTATGTTGTACGTGTGGGCTGTGGTTCTTAGTTGATTCTTGAGTTGCCAAGCCTGTAATTGATTTGTTTTTTATCTGTTGTGTTAAAATTGGTATAATAATAATTTAATAAATTAATTTGGTTATTTATTTTAGAAATAACAATAAAATTGTAGCTCATATGCCCGTTCTTACAGTTAAATTTACTCAAATTTACATCATTTTTTGTTTAAACAATCCAACAACATTTTAAATTGATTGGTTGTTTTTGTGGGTATTATTATTAGGATTACCACTTATTAATAGGAATTTTACTCATTTCTATTTTTGAATCAATTAATAAAAAAAACAGAATTTACCAACAACCTTTTTTTTCCATTTTTTTTAATAAAATTTCTTTTAATATGACAAAAACAAAATATTATCAAATCTGCAACCGTTTTTCAACACTTGGGAAACTCTGCCATTAATATAATAATTATTTTATTATTTTTTATATCAAATTAAAACAAAAACATTTTTATGGAATAATTACATTTTTGTATATTTTATTAAATAATAATATAACTATTATATACTGATGTACATAGGTTTATTATCAGCATATTGTTTATTATATATTATAGTTTTATTTGATTAAATTATTAGATTTTTAAATAACGTATATATCCCATTTTTTAAAGCAATATATTATTTTTCTATTAATATCTTTAATTATTAACATTAAAAATAATTAATATTAGTTTTAGTTTAATAAAATAAAATAATTACTACTAATTATAATTATTTATATAATATTTACTACTCGCAAGTTTGTGATTTATAATATTTTACTAGTGATTGCATTTAATTAATAAATTATTACGGCACTTTTATTAAAAATGGCAATTATCAAAAAAATTTTATTTTTTTGGGCTACAAATTCTTCCCATTGTTTAAATGAAATTCACTTCAAATAAAAATATACCTTTTGGTGGCACTAATTGAAGTTAAAATGATTGATTAAACAAATCAATTTGGTTTAGTTAGTTTGTTTGATTAAAATTAATTTTTTGTTAAAAATAAATTATATTATATTATTAATAAAATATATTTAATTTAATTAATAAAAGGACGGACATGAAGAAGAAGGACGGGAATATAGGCCGAAAGATGTACTTTGTGGTTTAGGGACGTCCTCCCGCTATAAAGTGCGTCCTGCTGTGTATAAAGACGTTCTTTATATTATTTTCGTGTCCACGGCATTTTCAAAACTATATAAGGAGTTATAATATTACTATGAATTTACTATTAAAAATTATAATTATTTCCAAAAATATATAAAAGAGTAGACAAACGCTATACTACAAGTAATTTTGTAATAAATGAATGGTTTTTATAAAATAATCCAAATATAAATTAATTTTTCAAAGAGCTCAAATATAAAATGAAAAAAATGAATCAATTTTTTAAAACTTATTATTTTTTATAATAAAATTACTTATAATTTAGTGTTTGTTCGTTGTTTTCGGCGGACATGAAAATAATTGAAAGGACCTCTTTATACACATAAAGGACGTCCTTTATAGCGGGAGGACATCCTTAAACCACAAAGGACGTCCTTCGGCCTATTTTCCTGTGTTTTTTTTCGAGTTTACTTTTTAATCAAGTAATCAAACTTTGAAGTATAAAATAGTTCGAATACAAAAACACAATAAAAGTTAAAAAAATATAAATATACATGTCTCGTTTGAGTGGGTATCATATAATGATAATTTCAAAGTATTTTAACACAATTTCGGATTATATCACTCTTGAGTGTGTTTGTAAATTATTTAATGGTAACATGTCTAAATTTCACTATAACCCAATTCCACTTTCCAAAAAGACAATTAAGTTTTTTCCCAGCTTAGAGACACTTCATGTTTATAACAAACAAAACGAAACTTTTGGGTCTTCATTAAGACAACTATTATCGAAAAAACAAAAATGTCTAATTAATAAAAACGCCGAACAAACCGAACATATTATTAGCACCGACTATACATTTTACAAAATAATTGTATGGTATATAGTGAGCTTGAATGAGTACAAATTAATAACAAATAACAACACAAACATTCAATTTAAAAACATTCAATTTAGTGGAGATGATTGGAATCACTTTAATTGTGATAATATTATTACTATCCCAAATATTGTCAATTCTCTTAAAAAATACTCCTTTTCCTTCTCTGACATCACTTCTATTAAAATCCCTTCATCGGTGACTTCATTTGGAGATTATTGTTTTCATGCGGTTCATCAACTAAAAGAGATAGAAATTCCCAAAGCGGTTCTTTCACTTGGTAAAAATTGTTTTTCTTTTTGTACTTCTATGACAAAAGTAGTTTTTCCAAAACATCTTCTAAATATAGGGAATCATTGTTTCTCTTTTTGTGGAAAACTTACAACCATTCAAATTCCAGAAAATGTTGATTAACTTAAAAAATCGTGTTTTTCTGTTTGTACTCAACTTCAGCGCGTTTTTCTTCCGAATGGAATGACTTCTTTGGGGAAGAGTTGTTTTGACAACTGTTTCAATTTAAAGGAAATAGAGATGCCAAAAACGCTAATTAATGTTGGGGATTTTTGTTTTAGTCAATGTCATTCGTTAGAGAAAATTTCATTTCACAGTGACTTGAAGTCGATTGGAATGTTGTGCTTTCATAATTGCTCAAATCTCTCTTCTGTCATATTCAACACAAACAAATTGGAAATTTTGAGTCAACAGTGTTTTTATATGTGTAAAAAGTTAACAAATATAAACATACCATTTGGTGTAAAAAGATTAATGAAAGAGTGTTTTGGTGCATGTTCGTCTTTAAAGTTGATTACTCTGCCTGAAAGTGTTGAGATTCTCGAAAATGATTGTTTTAGTGGATGTAAACTAATAACCGATGTTATTCTTCCAAAGAGTGTAAGTTTTGTTGGAGTTTGTTGTTTTGAACACACAACAAAAGTAAATACATCAATTTAATTGTTGTTTTTTTGTTTTTTATCCAAACCATCAAAACGTTTACAATATGTTTTAATCAACGAATAGAACATTTTTGTTTATTTTTGTTTGATAAAAATGTTTAATGTGAATTTTGTCTTAATTTTAATTTTTAATAAACATGACCTTCTTATTAGTCAAAAGAATATCATACAAAGGAATAAACAATTTTAAATATTATTATTAATACTTTTGTAAAATAATTTGAATAGTTATGATGCTTTCATTATTTTCAACAGACAAAATGGAAAAAAAATCATAAAACCTAATAAAAGTAAAAAAATTGGATTGTTAAAAAATGCCTATCATAATGTCTCTTTTTTCCCAAAAAACATAATGGTTTATAAATAATAGATAATTATTTTAATAATATAACAAAATAATAATATAAATAAATTATACTTTTACATATTTTTATGAATTGGAAACAAACTTTTTAGGTATAAAGCAAAAAAGAACAACTTTATTTTCAAAAAGTATGCTCGTGTTCACGATTATTGTTTTTTTAATGAAACTAGTCTGGAGTCAATGTACTCCATTTTGCACTTGTAACAAAGTAACACAAACATGCACTTCATGTATGTCCAATTATCATAAGAATACAACATTCAATGAATGTGTTTATAAACGTGACCTGGGGTGTGAAAAATATGCATCACAAAGTTCTGATGTTTGTCAGAAGTGTTCAGATGGGTACAAATTTAATTATCTAAGTGGAGTGTGCGAAGTGGGTATTGAACATTGTCTCGATGCGACTCTTTCATTAGAAGGGTGTTCATCATGTGAAGAGAATTATTATTCTGCTGGATTGAATGGTTGTTTACAATCAACTTCTGAATATCAGTATTGCACATCAATTGACTCTGAAAACAACTGTGAATTTTGTGTATCTGGTGCACTTCTTTCAGAAGGTCGTTGTGTGATGTACGACGAATTTTGTGCAACGTCCACAACTGCAAATTCTCCCGTTTGCAAAACTTGTTATTCTGGATTCTTTGTAAATTCAGAAGGAAAGTGTCAAAGTGGAGAAATTGCCAATTGTATGAAATACACTTCTAAAACTGATTGTTCTATGTGTCTGACAGGTTATAGACTCCTTGATAACAAATGTGAGAAAGATGATAAATGTGTTGGATTCATTGCTGGCCTTTGTCTTGGGTGCCCAAAAGGATACTTTGTATCTCAAAAGGCTTGTTTTCCTTGTGGAGAGAATTGTGAGAGTTGTACTTCTTCCACCAAATGTAAAATTTGTTATGAAGGATTTGCTGTTCAAAATGGGGTTTGTGAAAAATGTGAAGTTTTGAATTGCACAAAATGTGATGAAAGTGGAAAGATGTGTGAAATATGCGAAAATGGATACAGTTTGTTTGAAGGGAAGTGTGTAAGGTGTGTAAACCATTGTGACAAATGCAGAGATGTATTGAGTTGTGAAACTTGTGAAAGCGGATATATTGCTGTTGATGGAGGATGTGCGGAATGTGAAATTTTGAATTGTTTGAAATGCACTGAAGGAGTGGATCAATGCAATGGTTGTGCGAGTGGATATTCTCTTCAAGACAATTATTGTTTCAAAACAATTAAAAATTGCAAGACGTATAGTGAAGATGGAATGTGTAAAGTGTGTAACACCAATTATATATTTGATGAAACCGATTCAACCAAATGTATACGAAAACCTTGTTCTGTTGAAGGAGATGGAGGAAACTGTACAACGTGTAGTCTTGGGTATTACAAAACAGAAGATTCAAGTTGTGAGAAATGTAGTAGCAAGTGTAGTGCTGGTTGCACAATGAGAGAAAATGAATGTGATTTGCTAATTGAAAAAAGAAGTCTTGAAGGATGTGCTATTTATGAAAAAGATGGAAAGTGTGCTATTTGTAAAGAAGATTACAAACTTAATAAAGGCAAGTGTGAAAACAAAGGAATTGCCTGTGCTATTGGATCTTACACAAAAACAAACAAATGCACAACTTGTTTCTCGCTTCTTAGAGGTTATACGATGCCTGTTGATTACAATTGTTGGGATGGAAGTATAAATGAAGTTATTATAATGGGAATAATAATTATACTACTATTGGTGTGATATGTTTTTAAAATAAAATATTAACACATTAAAAACAGAAAATAATTAAAATTTAACTTACTTCAAATTATAATTAATATTAAACTTGAAATACAACTTTTTTTATAACTGAATTGCATTTATATTGTTATCTCATTTAAATTGTAATTTATCAAATATAACCAATCTGTGTTATTAAAATACAATACAATTTTATTTATTAATTAACAAAGTATAATGCTCTTGAATATTATTCTGTAAAAATATTTAAAATATTATTGAAAAATTAAACATATATTATGAAAAAATATTATATATTAAATTTTATAATTATAATACAAAACAATTTTGGTGATATTGTATTGTTATGTATTAAATAAACATAACAACAAAAGTTTGTATCATCTTTTAAAACTCATGTTCGATTATTGTTATTACATTTTGTTTTTATATAGAATATTATATTAATTATTATATATAAATTAATTTCTATTTATAACATCTTATAACATTGTCACTAAATGGTATTCATGTTTATCATTAGAAATATGATTATTGACAATTAATAAGAATATCATATCAACATTTAATGAAATAATTATGTTAATATATTATATTGTTTTTTGTGTGTTGATGAATAGATAATATTTTATCAAATAATAAATATGTAATATGAGGAAATGTATGATTATTATGGATAATATAATATATATTACAGTCAATAAACAGTTTTTATTAAAAGAATTTATTATTAGAACTATTATATTAATATAATAACAGTTCTTATATTTATAATAATTACAAAAAATACATATAATAATTATTAAATCATAAAACACCATATTATATATCAAAATAATATGATAAATTTTAATTATATTTCATATCAAAAAAATATAAGGGTTTAATATATTAAAAATTCGAAAATATTAATAATGCAATCTGAATCTACAGACCACCTTATATCATTGCAAAATAATATTAATGAATGCTTTAATAACTTAAAAGAAGCGATTGAAAACAACTCCAAGATGGAGAAACCCACTCTCCCACCAATTATAGATACAACAAATTATGAAGAATCCGTTACGCATTTGCAAACTGTACTCCACAAAGAAAAGGAGTGTGAAAAAACATGTGTTGCCTATTTAAAATCAATCAATAAATTCTTTGCGACCCTCGACGATCTTAGCATTTTACTGAATCAAACCAAACAGAAGTGTGAAGGCGATGGCGACTTACTTGTTAATATTCGAAACAAAGTGCTTCAGAATTTAGTCGAGTTAGAGAAGTCCCGTTGTGACAACGAACTCAAAATTAATTCATTTCGAAAATCTCAAATCCAAGAGGACTTTTTTCAGATTGAGTCTTCGCTGACTTCAAAAATGAAGACCTCAATCTTCCCGTCATCTTCACAACTTTCAAAAAGCGACGAGAGAATTTCTATTCTTCAAACCAATGAATTTTCGACTCACCCCGAAAATTCCAAAAATATCACCAAACGCGAAACTTCAAAACCTCACAAAAAAAGTGAAAAAGCCAAAGCCGATGCCCACGACATTTCTCCGACCAAAAAAGACATTGAAAAATATTCAAAAACCGCGAAAAGTGAAAGTGAAGACAAGTCGACTATTCTCGAAGATGACGAAGGCGATCTTCTCGAGATGGAGACGAGTGGATTCAAGCGTTTGAGCAATGACACGTACACGGTCAACCCATTCGCGCTCGACTCGCTCACGGAAAATGCCCAGTCGATGACATCCGACGACATGTTGACCATCGAAGAGAAAGCTCAGATCTTTGCGTGGAGTGGACGAAGTGTCGGGAAAATGGTATATGATTATGATAAAACGCCTTCGCGAGTGTGTAGTAGTTTGTTTATTAAAGCGATTTTGGGATGCAATGGGTTGGTTGTTGTAGTGTCTGTGGAAGACAGTGTTTTTGGTGTTTGTCTTTATGAAAAAGTCCTAAGAACGTCGACAAATGTTGACGACCCAAAAAGTTTTGTTTTTACGTTGCATGAAAATGGCATTGATAAAAGAAAGAAATTTCTTATTAAAAAAGAGAATTCAAAACACGCGTTTTACATTGGCGCTATTAATTCAATGGCGTTCTTTAATGTGGGAAAGGGTGATATAAGAGTCTCGGCAAATAGAGAGAAAAAGGTCATTTGCGACTGTAAACAAAATGCGTTTGACTACGGCGGGTCAACAAAAAACATTGTTGGTGATGTCAACGATAATAAGACGGTTGTGCCTCTCAAAAGATTTGTCGTATATAAACTTGAGATGAAGTGATAGTAATATTACCGTTACATTTTCATAAAATATCTTTAAATAACATAGCAATAATATTTATAACAATATGGAATCAAACAACACGAAACAAATATAAAAATTTTAAATGTGTAATTATTATAATTCATTTCATTTCAAAATATTGGCAAAATAATTGGTTTATTACATCAAATACTTTCTCATATGCTCCTTCATCATCTCAACTTTTTTATCCTTTTCCTCTATTTGTAACTTCGTCTCCAATAGTATTTTCTCTTCAGTTTCATCTCCAACGACTTCTCCATAGACTTTTATTCTTGCTGAATTGTCGACTTCAATTGAAATTCTAAACGAAATATCACCACTCTTTTTCTTTGGAAATCCTTTCAATGTGACTTTAGTGACAAAGTCCATATCATCCACAAAATACGATTTTTGAGTTCCACTGTATATTTCGAAAGTGGCCTGTGTCTGTCCATCGTATGTTGTCTTGTAAACCTTTTCTGTGACTATCGGGAGGTTCTTCCCAGCTTCTGCAAAGCAGTCAAATTTGTTAGAATTGACGCAGAAACCGAGGTACACTGGCAGCACATCCAGCATCACATCATTATCAATTCCAGAACACATTTTAAAGTTGTACAATGCTGCTCCGTTCACCACTGCGTTGAGCTCGTCAAAGCTTTCTTCCGAAACTTTTTGCTTTCCAAATAGAGTTTCAACGCACTGGCGGAGTATTCTATTTTTAGCGCCTCCTCCAATGAGTAAAACGTGATCTACTAGTTTCACACTTTGCGGTTTAATTACTTGAAAAATGCACTTTTTAAAATGAGAAATGAGCGTTTTAAAGTCCTCACACCCTTCATACATTTGTTTGGTAATTATCACTGAAAAGTCCTCATTATCTTTGATGTATTCATCACTGATGTCACTTATATATACTTCTACCATATCATTGGCACTGAGACTCTCTTTAACTTGTTGGGACAAATACCAGAATTTACTTTTAGTGGCCGTCCAGTGCTCTTTATTTTCGATGTGAATGTTACTTAATTTATCAGCCACATCACTTGATACATTACGAATTAAGTCAATGATTAATTTTGATACAACTTGTGTGAAATCGTCACCACCAAAGTGTTTATCGCCACCATTGGCCAACACTTGTATAGTCTTATTTATAGTGACACAAAGGGAGATATCGAATTTGCCTCCTCCCATCTCAATAACACACACTTTACTTTTATCACTGATTTGGCTTTGAAATCGATTTGAATAACACATCAAGGCTACCACCGACTCATTCACTAGCTTTTTGACTTTTATGTTACACAAAGAAGCACACCGATATAAGGCCTCCCTTTCAACATCACCAAACATCACAGGGACAGCTATGACTACTTCATTCAAATCAGTTAGATGTAATCGACTCATTGCTGCTTTACATAAATAATTGAGTACCAAAGCCAGCAATTCCTCGGGATAAAAAGTGTCAAACGTTTCAACGATAACAACTTTTGTGTTGGATATGTCATCGGGTATTGTTTTGTAAAAAGGTACTTTTACTTGAATTTCATCGTCTTCATCGGAAATAATTTCAAAAGGAAAACTTTTTATTTCTCCTTTTGAAAAAGAAGAAAATTGTCGGCCTAGGAGTTTCTTAATATTACATACAAAAGAGCCATTTCCATTTAAGGCCGAAAACCCTATTTTAACTTGTCGTTTTTTGTAGTCCAAAAATGATATACACGAGGGAACACGAAATATTGAACCAATTTCAATAACTTGAGTAACACCATTAATACAGACGGATATCGAAGAATATGTCGTTCCCAAATCAATACCAATGAAGTACTCCTCACTCATTCTTATTTTTTTATTTGTTTTTTTTCAAAAATTTTGCTTTATTTTTAAATAATACAAAAAATAAAAAAAAACAATTGATTTGTTTTATTTAAAAAATAGAAAATGTAACTATATTGTATTAATTATTTTATTATAATTTATAGTTGTTTATTTCAAACTTTGATTTATTAATATTGTATTAATAATTATTAAATTAAGTTAAAATGATCTGTATAATTAATAAGAAATACGTATGAAACGTGTAATTAATCATACTAATATAAAGGAATTACTAAAAATAGCAGAAGAAAAAATACTGTTGGACAACCCAACAGAAGAAGATTTTGAATGGTATTTGCAATTATTAGAAAAAGACGCACTTTATTCAAGTAGTATAGGCGAAACTATCATAGAATCGGAAAATCTAATGGAATTAATCCAAAATAATATAAACGATATCAAAAAGACCACTGCAAAATATGATAAAGTGCTTAATGTTTTAAATGCTATTAACGATAGTCTTGCAGAAAAAAAATGAATTAACAAATAATTTTTAATATTCATTTTTAATGTAAAAATAGATTATTGTCAATAGAAAAAGCAGTTATAATTATGACACAATAAAATATTTTTATTTAATTTAATCGGTCCAACAACTTTATCTTCTCAGAATAGTAATTAATTACATTTATATACAAGATACAAATACCAGCAAGCCGTTTTTAAAATAAATTATTAACACGTTTAATATCAATTATCAAAGAGATAAAATTGTTATAATGAAGAAATAAATGAACAAAAAAATGATTTTTATTTGGATGTTTATTTTAAATTTTTGAACTTGAAAAAGAAATGGACAAGTTGATAAAAGAACTGTCTTTGCTTTGTACCGAATCACTTAAAGAAGTTGATGATATTCAAAATCATCATCTTGATTACTCAATTGAAGACGACAAAAATTTGAGTTATGAACAACGTATCAAAAAACTAGATGGGTATCTTGACAGAATAGATAAAGTAATAGCTCGAAAGAAAATAGGTTCAACGTTTATTGACACTCTGACAAGTAATATTTATAAAATTGCTCGTAAAATCAAAAATAATTCATCAAAATTTTCAAGTGAAGTTGACAAAGAAAATTCATACAATATATTTAATACTAAAATTGAACTTATTGACGCCGATTGGAATGCTAAAGTACTAAAAATGCAAGAACAAATTGAACAGACAAAAATAGCGAAAAACAGAGATATAGAAAATATAAAGAAGTCGGCGGTCTATATAGAATATGAAAAACTACATAACAAATTGGTTGATAAAGCAGATTTAGAACGAGAAAATGTGACACGCAAAGAAAAAACAGAGCTTGAGAAATTATGTGGTAAAAAGGTTTCAAGTGTTATTTTTGATTCAAAGACGGATAAATGGTCTTCTAAAGATCCAGTCTTTGAATCAAAAGTTATGAACAAAAGTAATTTGTGTTTTTTAATTGAAGATTTGAATAACAACAAATTTGGGGGTGTCGTGTGTGAGAAAATAACAAATGTAAACAAGTGGACTACTGGAGGAACTTCATTTATGTTTTCATTAGTAAGGAATGGAATACTTAAACCGCGAAAATTCGATTTAAAAACTCCTTTAAAAGAAGAATTTTGTTTGTACTCTTCAGACAGTAAATATTTATTTGGATTTGGAAAAGAAAGTGACTTATTAATACACAAGAAAGATTATCAGAAAAATACAAATTGGGGTTTTTTCTATCAATTTGGAGAAGATGGGAAGGACGTTTGTAAACCCAATACCTATCAATTTAACCAAAACGATTTGACGCGACACAATCAGTTTACACAGACACGTATCATCGTCTTTCAAATGGTTTAATTTCTAACTTAACGGATAATAAATAATTGAAAGTAAGTTAGACATTTCAAATTTAAATTAAAAGATTATTATATTTAACTATATATTTAATATAAACCAAATCCGTAAAAATTGATTAATCATTAAATTACGGTTCAATGATAGGGAATGTTGGGGAAGGCACATGCGTTGATTCAATGAAACAGAAGAAATTTTCTTTGTTTCCTTCAATTTTAACATTTATTTCCTTTTCAAATGTTTTTCTGTCTGTTTTTTTCACGACAAACTTGACCAACTCTTCTTTGGTACAACTGATTTGAGTGGTTGGATGCTTATCTGTATGTTCTCTGTTATTTAACACTGAATTTTTCAATAGAAGACTTCCACTTTCTTTGGTGTCCACAAAAGTGACATTGAAGACTTCGTTGATAGCTTCTACAGCAGTCGGCTCCATACAAACAGCGAGATAATCAAACAAGTAATTGAAAGGCAATTTTAACAAGAAATAAGTGCTTGAGGTGCTGCTCCTAACATAAACTATTTTGCTTTTATCTTCTTCCAGTTCAAGTGCGCCTGTAAGATAGATGTTTCTCCAAACTGCGCTCTCCTGCATATATCCACTTTGTCTATACACCTCGGCCAACAATTTTCGAGCTTCTAAATTCTTCGGATTTTTAAACACGACGTGGTTTAATAAAGTGATTGCCCATTGGTACTCTCCACTCTCAAAAGAGTCTTTAGCAAGTGCAACGCACTTCTCCTCTCCACCAATAGCTTCCACATATTTTTCACCCAATTTAATTGGAGTCAAAGGGTTCAAATTAGCTGGATTCCCATCATAAAATCCTAAATAATATTGGTACTCTGCTCTGCTATTATGAGAGACTGTACCGTAATATCCTCTGTTGTAAAACACTGAAGAAAGACTTTTGGGGAGAATGACTTTTTCAGGCAATTCGTTTATAGTAGTTCCCAAATTGGCTTGTCTCAAAGTCTGGTCATGAATGTATTTGTACAAGTCTCTCTGCTTTTCATAGTACTCCACTATATTCTTATTCCCCCAAGTTGGCCAATTATGCGATCCAAAAGAGTAATCCAATTTATCCGCATATTTAGCAATGATGTTGTCTATATACTTCGCCCAGTCTTTCCCATTTCTTGCTTGTGCGCCTCTTGGAGTATACAAATTGTGTTGTGTTCTATTAATTTCTTCGGCAGTACACACAGCTTTCAATTGTGGGAAGTACATCATCATTTCTGTTGGCGCTTCTGCGTTTGGAGTGTACATAAAGTCGATTTCCACACCATCAATAGTCAAAGTTTGATCCTCACAAATTTCATTCAAATGTTTTGGATTGAAAGTTGAGAGTTGACCCGTAGAAGATGTGGTCCCAAGTCCACACCCAACCCAACCCTTTTCGTTTCTTTCTAAGTTGTGTCCAAACATATAAACGGCTCTTCTTTCCATTGCAACACCGGCTAGTAAAGCTTCTGAAATTGTCAATTTAAAGAGATCTTTAGGTACAATCACTAAAGTATCGTCTTCTATTACACCGTCCATCCCATGAATGTGGTCGCCATGTGAATGTGTCAATATAATACACGTCACTGGAAGATTTGCAACTTTTTCTCTTAATAATTTTAACCCAGTCGCCGCACTTTCGTTGCAACATAATGTATCAATTATTATCCAGCCTTTCTCACCTCGAATAAAAGACATGTTAGCAATATCAAAGCCTCTAAATTGATACACTTTATTGGGTATGATTTCATATAACCCATGCATACGGACTAATTGTTCTTGTCTCCATAAAGCTGGATGTACTGTCTCGGGACATTTCTGCTCTAAATAATCGGTTTGGTGAACATCAAAACATTTCTTTGAACTTTGAGAATATTGGTCAATGATCCCACCATCTACTGTACAGATGAAACCTTTGTTTGAGTCTTCAAAGTCTCGTCTGTCGGTAAAATCCAACTCGTCATAAACTTTTGCGTTTGAAGATTTAACAAAAGGAGTAGCCATTTGTTGTTTAAAGATTAAATTGCCTTTTATTCTGATAATTATTATTGAAAAATCTTTTCTTAATTTTTTTTTAATAAAAAACTTCAATGTTTTGCAACAATAAATTAAACTATATTATTTTATATTAAAAACGTTATAAATGGGTAAAAAAATATCAAATATTTGAAAATTTCTAAGTTCAATTTTTTTGATCTTTATTGAGTCAAAAATTCTTTTTGTTTATTTTAAAGGAAATCAAAATAATGTTATTTTTCAATAAAATCAATAAAATGGATATTTTCTATTTTTGATAATATTGTATTTGTATCATTTTGAAATTTCCTTTAAATTTAAAATGTAATAAATTAATGTATAATATTTACACTACACTAAAACCTCCAAGAGCGGTCATTTTTGAACTAAAACCAAAAACAAAGTTCTGTATCAAGCGACAATTAAGATTTGATTAGCTAAAATTCCCTTTCTTGAGAAACATAATTATCACACCCTCCCGCTTTTGAGAGGTTTGATTGTATTTGGTACTAATATCATACATAAAAACAATGTCAGAAATATTTTAATTAACATTTTATAATTATATGTTTGTTAAATCAAATTATTCTGAATTATCATAAACATATTACTATTAACTATCAGATGTAAAATGATACATATAACGCAAGTACATATATTATCTTTACAAATTAAAACCCCAAAATTCTTAAAATTGTAAAATACTTTATATTTTAGTGCAATAATTCATATTTTAGTTTGATGTTACATATAAAAACACTAAAAAATTTCAATTGTTATTTTTGAACCATTCCTTGCGTGACAATTTTGTTTTTTACAACGAAACCTTATATACTTACCTTTTTACAACATTATTCGAACAATAAAAAAATGTTGCATTCTGTCAACTTCTTTATTTTGTGTTTTTTGTAAATACAATGGTTTTATTTTGAGTGTTTTCTGATAAAAAATAATGTCATATACACAATATTATTTCATAAGATATTTTTCTTGTAATTATTAACAAAAAGTTGTTCAATAAAAATCTCGAATAAGTAAGTTGATACATAATAAAATTAATAATATTTGTTATATAATCAATCTAACAACTTTGTCTGCTTGGAAACTATATTTGGTATTTTTTGGACTTAACCAACTAAATAATTTGGGAAAACCAATCAAAAAAACTGCGATTATTTTAATTTTTTTCTTATTTTTTGATTTTTTATTTAATTTTTATTTTTTAAATACAGCCATTAATTGTAAGATACCAGTTTCAACAGATAATTTGTTAGACTAACCTTATTGTATTTTTCATCATAAAAACCAATTGTCATATAATTCGACAGAAGTCATAATCAATAACCAAGACATAAAAATCAATAAAGATTATTATTAAAAACATATAGACAAAAAAATGTTCAAACATGATTGTTATTTTTATTTTTGTGTTCAATTTTTTATATTAATAATTTAATTAGTTATTATACAAATAATTAAAAACATCTTAACTAATAAATTATCAAAAAATTTTATCAAACAATTTGAATCATTACAATATTGTAAACGTATGAAGCAAAACTCTACCTAACTTATTTATATAATTTAAATTATAATTGATTATATTATTAACAAATCATAATTATTTTAAAAGTAATAATAATTTATTTAAAATTTTATTATTTGATAAATCAATTCTTATTTTCTTAAATTTTGAATTCGGAACGTTTAAGGTGCTAACGGACGTTTTTAATTGTATAATTTACTTTCAAAAATATTTTTTCGGTTCGATGTTTTTAATGAATTGACTAAATGATTGTTTTCGATTTTCTAAATTTTAAATAAAGAATCACACAGTTAAAATAAATATTACTATATTAACATTTGTGTTTTATATTTTATTTTTAAAAAATAACAAGTTGATAAAATACTTTAATTCATTATTTTCAAAAAGCATCGAAAGAGGCATTGAAAGAGGAATAACATATACAATGTTAAAGGGGTTAAAATACAATAATTCATTTTCTTAAAAATTCCTTACATAATTACAACATTTTATTTTGAAAACAAGTTTTTCTTACTTTTTAAAAGTTGTTTTTATACTTTTAAAATTTAAACATTTTCGTATTTTTTGAAACCCATTTATAGATTTTTAGCAAATAAAAGGAACGCGATGAAAATTTTATTCAATGATTTATTTTCTTTTCCTGTTAGTATCAACTTATGCACTTGATCAGTGTTATATCAAAGAGACTACTCGCAACTGTTTTAAATATTACGACCAAATCGGAAACTTTACGTGTGATCCCAATTTGGTTATAACTGAATCTGGGTATTTATGTGAAGGAGCTTTTAAAGGTCGAACTGTTTTTACTTCGGTTATTTTAGAACAAATTACTTCTGTTGACGATTATGCATTTGAAGGATGTTCCAATCTTGAAACCTTCACGTTTAAAATGTCTGAAAGTAGTTCATCATCGGATTATATTGGAAAGTCTGCATTTGTTGGAACCAAGTTGAAAACCATTAATTTGAATAATATTTACCTAATCGATGAAAGTGCTTTTGCTGGGCTTACTTCTCTCCAACAAATCACATTTTATAAATATTTTCCTTCAACAATTAGAAAGAATGCTTTTAGAAACAGCGGACTTCAATCAATTGGATATTCAGTAGACGTTCCTTATATTTATAGAGATCTTTCAATAGTTGATGAATACGCTTTTAGTGGTACTCAATTGGAGACTTTTACACTTTATGAAAACTCGAACATGTACATCGGAAAGGGTGCATTTTCTAATATGACAAATCTTAAGCACTTTAACATGAGTGGGTGCCCTACCATATCCGAAGAAATGTTTGCTGGAGACGTCTTACTCGAAAGAATATTATTTACAGAAAATGTTATTCGATTAGGGAAAAACGCATTGAAAGATTGTGTAAAATTGACTAAGCTTCATCTAGGTAATGTTATCACTTTCCAAGATAATTTGCAGTATATTACCGAACTGTTTTATCATGGTATAAACGCTCCAACCGGTGTTTTAGGAGAAATCAATTTAAATTCTGCCATAAAAGTATATGTCAGTAAAAATTACTCTCCAGCAAATCTCAAATTTTTATCTTCAACTGCAACAAAATTGAGTTGTAATAAAGACCAAAAATATGATTTCAATACAAGTACTTGTGTTGCTTGTGAAAATAATTATGTCACTTATGATGGATGTAGTGATGAGTGCACTATAAATAGTTATCTTTGTAGTTGGAAAGATGAAACATGTTTAGACTATTTCTGTAGTGGTTATGCTTGTAATAGATGCAACGTGGCTGGTAAAAAAGTGTTTGATTATTCCAGTAAAACATGTACTGATATTTGCAACACGGGGAATGGATATTATTTACTTGGTGATGGCAGAACTTGCAAAAACTGTAATATTTTAAATTGTTTGAAATGTGCAGAAAAGGAAATAATGGATCCAAATACATATTTTTCGTACAGCAGCACCAAGTGTACAATGTGTATGCCTCCTAATATTGTGACAACGAGTGGTACGTGTGTATCATCTTGTGATGTTCAAAATAATTATGCTTATTATGTTGATATTAATGGGCAACAGGTTTGCCAAAAATGTAGTGATATTTTGACAAATTGCAAAAAATGCACTTCAAACAATACTTGTTTAGAATGTAGTGCTTCTTCTTATTTATTGGAAGAAACCAATGAATGTGTTTCTAATTGTCCATTAAATTATGGTACAAACAGTGAATACAAAAAATGTGTGAAATGCACTCCAAATTGTGAGAATTGTGATGCACAAAGTTCAAATGGAGAAACTCAAATGTGTAAAACATGTGAACTTGGTTACTATTTAGTTTCTGACACTAATGAATGTGTTGCAAGTTGTGCTGATTATTACTACCCAATTGAAGGCTCAGACACTGAACCGAAAAAGTGTATACAATGTGAACGAAATTGCGTTTCATGTTCAGGAAGTCAAGGTGAATTCTGTTCAAAATGTGAATTAAATTACTTTTTATATGATGAAGAAACACCACAAGGATGTCAAGACCAATGTTATGATGGGTATTATGAAACTAATGAAAATGGAATAGCCAAATGTAAGAAATGTTCTGTTATCGAAAATTGTGTAACATGCGAATCAGAAACGAAATGCACCAAATGTGGAAATAACCAATATGTACAAGAAGATGGTTCATGTGGAGATACTTGTCCAGAAAAATATAGAAAGGGTGATGGGATTTGCGAAGAATGTCCACCACTATGTAGGGATTGTCAAGCATCGGGTAAAACCAAGTGCGATGTTTGTGAATTAAACGCTTTTTATCTTGATAACAAAACATGTTCAAAATCATGTGAAGAAGGATACATGGAAATCAAAGACACAACTCCAAATTGGACATGCAAGAAGTGTGATGATAATAACTGTAAAACATGTGAAATATCCACAGATGAGAAGTGTGTTGAATGCAAAGAGAATTTCTATTACAATGGAGATTCAAAGAAATGTGAAAGTGGCTGCGACTTGACCACACATTTTGTGAACATTTCAGAAAAACTCCAAATGTGCTCAATGTGCAACAAAGCATTCTCAAATTGCCAAAGTTGCACATCACAACAATGCACAAAATGTGAAACCAATTATTACACACAACCAGATACACCACATACATGCGAAAGAGATTGTCCAGATGCTTATTATAAAGGAGATGGCGTTTGTACAAAATGCACCGATAACTGTTTGAGTTGTGATGAGTATTTCTGTCACAGTTGTGAAGAAAAATACGTACTCAGCAACGGCGATTTAACATGCGAACGTTGTCAAGATAAAAGTTGTTTAAAATGCAGCCAAGGAAAAGAAAAGTGTGATAAATGCGAATCTCCTAAATTAATGGGAAAAGATTTAACTTGTGTTGATACATGTGAAAGTGGGTATTACAGTATTAATGATGAATATTGTGAAATGTGTCAAGATCAGAATTGTGCAGTTTGTGATAGATTTGAATGCAAGGAGTGTGCATTGGGAAGTTTTATGTCAAGTGGATACTGCAGATCATCATGTCCTGACGGATATTACGAAAATATAAAAGTCTGTAGTGAATGTACCAAAATGGCATCTGAATATGGTGTGTGCAAACAAGGAGACTTGGAATGTATTGGGTGCTCATTGGGAAATAATAGTGCTATTAGTACATCAATGTTGTTTGCATTACTCTGTATGGCAATGTTATTGTTTTGAAAAAAAATCGAATAATTGATTTTTTTTTAAAATGAAGTACAGATAGAAGAATTATTGGTTGTCATGGAAAAAGTGGTTGTCATGAAAATAATGTTATTAAAAACAAAAAAAAATGATTATTTTTCAAAAATTTTCCCAGTGTATTGAGTAAGTCGATTATCAAATGAAATATATATATATATTAAATAATTTGTTTTATGTATTATTCAAGACATTAAACAAATGTTAATAATGTTAATATTTTAAACTTTTAACAATAATAAAAATTATGTATTTGAAAAAGACTTATTAAATGATGTATATTTGTGTTTTTTGGTGAACCCAACAACAGTAAAAGATAAAGACAATAAAAACAATAATCAGCACACAACGTTTGGTTAATTTGAACACAATAACAGTTTTCATAACGAAATGCCATATTTGTAATATAACGTCATATTACACGTTGTTTATCAATGAATGCCTTATGATTAATTATTTGCTTTCAACGTTATAAAGATACAAACTTGATAATCGTGATTATTGCTTGTTTGATTTACGCATCCTCAACTTATTCGTAATAAATTGCACATCCCCAACATCAGTTCATTTTATATCATGATGACAAGGTGCAGTCAATTTTGATTATGAAAATGAGTAAAATCTTTTTGTGGTTTTTCTGTTTTTTAATAAAAAATAGAAAATTTTAATTTTTTCATCCTTTTGACAACCACTTTCTGAAAAATCAATCCAAACTACCACGGTTTTCCCGTAAATTTGCTTGTTAAACAACTAACAATTTATAATAATTAAAAATGAATATATAAAAATACTTTTTTATACTCGTGACAACTACTTTTTCTATGACAACCGCTTTTTCTTGCATCTGTAATTCAAAAAACTTTTTTATCTTTGTTTTAATTTTAGAATTCAAATTATTTTTATAAATAAATTTTTATAATCAACACAGTAAATATTCGATGATAGTCCAGTCTATGTTCCAGTCTTATTCAATAATGTCAAATAATAAAAACTTGAATAATTAACAAAAAATACCACATTTTGTTTTTTGTCTCAACAAAATTCCAAATTATAATTTCACCCAAAAAATATTTTTGCCATTTTTTAAAAACTTTTGTAATTTATTTTATAAAAACTAATGCTTTATTTTATTAGTGTTTATTAAAACACAAAACGTCCGTTATAGAATCAAAATATTGACAGACAACACAAACAACATTCAAACCGAACACATGAAGAGCAATATGACAACTCTTGGTTTTCAAAATAAACACTTGTTGTTTTATAACAATTTAACGCTCCAACGACACATTAATCAACTTTATTTGGGGGTTAGATGAAAAACTCATTTGCTTTTAAAATAATTTTTTTAATTATTTTTTAACTTAATGACAATTTGGTTTATGTATTACCATTTTAAAGTTTTGGACAAAAAAATATTAAAAATAGCAAAAAAGTTGTTGTTTTTTGATTTTTTTCAATATTAGATAAGAAACATTCCTCTTATTTTATCGTCTCTTATCGAATATTGACTGTAGTTGAAATGTGACTGTAGTTGATAAAGAATTGGTAAATTGTACTATATTGTTACCGATATTTTTAAAAAATTGATTAAATTAAATAAACAAATTTCAATTTTTCAACTTTTAAACATCTATAAAATGTTAAAAATGTTTCGTTCATAATAAAATGAAATTTCAATTATTTTAATAAAAATAGATTTTTTTGTCAACCCAACCAATTTGTCTGTTCCATGCCAATAAACACACCAAAAGTTTTCTATGATATTTTAACTGGTAGTTTTTTATACTTGATTTTTCATTTTTTTGATTCATTTAAATATGAATAATAATTAAAAATAATATTGAAATAGATTGGACATGGAAATAAAATTATCCCTTTCTGTTTTTTTCCTTTAAGGGTTTCTTGAGGATAAGGTGTATCCTCAGGATTAAAGCTATCCTTATTAATAAATATTTTTCTGAGGATACAAAAATCAAATCCATAAGGTTCAGTTCCCCATAAAGCCCACTCTCATAACTCAAGTTATAATTTACACTTAATATTTCGAGTCAAAGTTCGAATTTTAAATGATGGTAATAATTAGTCATAAATGCCAAAAAATTAAATACAATCAAAAAATCGCCACAATAATCAGTATACAAAAACAACAATTATATCTCGCCAACTTGAGACGAGAAATAACAAAGCGTGTATTCAACTTGTTCATATTATGATTATATACTTATTGAAATTATTTCCGAATCCGTCTTTATAACATAATAATTGAAATTTACGTTTAAATTGATAATTGTTTTTTAATCAAAATGAAAATTGAAAAAGTCGAAAACACTGATTTTCTAAAAATGTGATTTTAAAATAACAAATTTATTAATAATTTTGAAATTTATGCAATTATTCAAATTTATTGTAATAACAAAGTTAATCATGTTGTGTATATTTTAAAAAGAATGTTTCATTTTGATATTAACTTGTGTTTTAAACGAATTTACAGTTCTGAGGATGGCAATTATTTTCTGAGGATGACAGAAATAGAAAGTTTACACTTTTACATTTGTCTGAAATGTATATTGAGTAAGTTACTATTTTTGGATATGGGAACACGTCATTTCACTTTTTAGGTGTTTAAGTCTGTGTTGATAACTTCTGTTTGTTACACGACTTACCATCCTCAGAGATATTTATAGCACTGCCATTATTGATTTAAAATTCTATAAATAAAATTATCAAAGAATTTTTATAAAGTGAGTTTTGTTAATTGATTATATCAAAAATCGTCAAAACACAACAAAAACGCCAAATAATATATAAAATTGATTAATAAATTGAACACGTTTCTATTGAGAATTAATATTGTTTAAAAAAATAATATAAACATATATTTCTTGTGTATATATATTTTGAAATATAAATAAAACCGTTTAAAACAAAAATGATTTTATTTTAAAAATTTGTTTATTTATCAATCGTTGTTTCATCGATATCCAAAACCTCGCGTTTTGAATTTGCACAAATACATAAATTGTCATCGCATAGAGTATACGTTATTAATAAATTATTTGCTATCAATTTTTATTGTTTGAAATTTCATGAATTGATTTTTAATAAATTGTATTTTTGTAAAAAAGATTAAAAATTGTTAGATTAATTTGTTTTGTGATTTTGATTAAAAAATCGACTTTTTCGATAATTTAAATGTCTGTCAAATGTTTTCGTTTAAACCAAGGTTAGTCTTGTGGTAAATCAAAAAATAGAAATAGATTATTTTTTTTGTAAAAATCAACTGAAAGAATTATCTTTCAAAAAATCCATAAATAGCATTTTTCAAGAAAATCATGTGTTTCAAAATACACCTTTTTGATCTTAGGCAAAAAAATCCAAATTGAAAGAAATTATGTTTAAGATATTTACCATCCTCAGAAAAATTAACAATCCTCATGAATCCCTTTAATATATTTATTGTTTTTCCACTAACTTAAAACAAAATAATATTAGCTGTTTTATTTTCCACTAAATTAAAATATATTATGTAGAATTAAAGTAAACTGTATTTCAAAACTCTGTACCGTTTCCAAAATTTATATAAACCCTTTGTCCTAATTTCCCATTATTTACTGTTTTTTATTTGTTTTATTTTTTATTTTCCTATTTGTTGAACCAACAACGGTACACAGTTTAAAACCCTTAAAAACCAATACAGTTTCAATTATTGAACCAAAAATCGGAAAATCACCCAAATATTGGGTAAATCTTCCCCGATTTTCCAGGTTCGTTATTTGGTCAGTGGTTTATTTTGTGACTAAACGTCAGTAAAACTACATATTTCTAACAAACACAAGATAAACGACAATAAAACAATAAACCAATGATGTAATGAAGACATCATTGCATTAAATAATACAACACTTTAATAAATAATAAGTTTTTGTTTATTTCAACAATTAAAAAAGTAATCGTTAACATAAAACAACAAACATTTAAACAATCAAGGTTATTAATAAAAGAGTCTAAAATAAAATAAACAGTTCGAAAATAAAAAAAAACTTTTCAATTGTATCATCTTAACCTATTAATCTTCTCTCAATACTTGTTTTATTCATTAGTACTTTTCATTTTTATAAGAAACACAACTTGGTGATTCTGTAAACATGGACATTTAATTATAAAGTTGTGTTTTATGTTTTTGGCAAAAATTGTGTTAAGGTAATCAAATTTTTGATCCCAAGTTTGTTTTTTATATTTTTCAAGTAAATTTTTGGTGCAAAATTTATTTGTCAAGTAAAATTTAAAAAATTCAAGTTCGTTATCTTGTTTTTTTCGAGTAAATGTTTATAACAAAAAATGAGGGTTAAGAAAAGGAAAAATTATTTAGAAATTATTTGTCTAAAAAATTGGGACGTCCCAGTACAGAGTTTTGAAAAACAGTTTATAAACATGTTTGAATGTTCTTTACTGATTATTCAAAAAACAAAATAAAAGATGAGGTGTTGTTTAGAACATCACAAAGAGTGCAACCGCAAACATAATTAATGTCGCAAAAGCGCCCGAAGCAGTGCACATTTCACACTCTTTATCTGTGCATGGAGTCTTGTACTCACTCTTGTCTTTGCATTTCTCACAGACTCCAGTTTTTTCAAACGTTCCTTCTGGGCACATGTTAACACACTTCTTTTCACTCATCAAAGCGCCATCAACACACTTGTCGCAAATTTCAAGGACAGAGCACTTCTCGCAGTTTTCTGAGCATTTGTCACAATTGGTGTCGTTCTTTTTGAAAAATCCAAGTTCACAATTGTCGACGCATTTCATTGTTCCTTCCTCAAACAGTTTTCCAGTTATACAAGCAGAGCAGTCGTTGGCTTTAGTGCAAGTTTTGCAACCAGACATACAGGCTTTGCATGTCTTATCCACGGGGAAGTAGTTTTCTGGGCATTTATCCTTCACACACTTCTTTGTGTATTCAACAAACAAATAATTTTCGGCACATGTTTCACATGTATTTGAATCTTTGCATGTTTTACATGAAACATCACATCTGAAGCACTTTTTGTTTGCAGTATCCTTTGTGTATCCAGATGGGCATTCAGAGTTGGTGGTACACTTTTTGGTGTCTTCAATTAAAAATGTGTTATCTGGGCATTCTGTGCACTTTCCAGCTTCGGTACATTTTTTGCAAGTTGTATCACAGTCGGTGCAAACATTGTTAACAGGGTAGAATTTATCTGGGCAATTGGCTTCACATTTAGAACCACCTTTAATCAAATTTCCTTTTGTGCACTTGGTACAAACAGTCTTTGAAGTACATTCACCACAATCTGTAATAGAACATTTCATACAGTTTGTGTTATCTTTATAATATCCAGCTGGACAATTGGCATCAGTGGTACATTTTTTAGTATCATCAAGCAACAAGTGACCTTCTGGGCAGCTTGTACATTTTCCCTTTTCAGTACATGCTTTACAACCAGTATCACATTTTTCACAAACGGAGTTGGTTGTGTCTTTGTAATAACCATCAGTACACTGGCTAACACATTTATCATTTTCTAAAAATGGAACAGTGGAACCGCATTTGGTGCATTTATTATTAAGGCAAATTCTGCAATTGTCATGAGTTTTAATACACTCACTCATATCAATTTCACAATAATAGTTATTACCATCTACGCTCATTGTAGTAACATCACATTCTTTACATTTTAATTCATTTGCCATTTTCCCACTGACTGGAGGGACTACAGGTGTTGTTGGAGTTATATCAACACATTGAAGAGTGCTGCAATGTTCTTTTAATACAACAAGAGTTCCAAAAGTAGTAGAAGTATAAGAATCTTGAACATAGACTTTCAATTTTGGATTAATTGGAGATTCTTTGGTTGGAAGAGTTGTTGGTTGGACTGTCCCATGGAAGAAGAGATTTTTTTGGTCTGTCAATGGGTCAAGCAATGAAGTCAAAGGAGCATAGAAGTTAACTGAAGTGAGTTTAACACAACCAGAAAAGGCGGCTGCCTGGACAGAAGTAACAGCCTCAGTACCAGTGAGAGTTTCCAACAATGCACAATTCTTAAAGGTGTTTGCTGGTATTTCAGTTGCTCCACTTATATCAATTTTTGTCAAAGCAGCAGCTCCTTCAAATGCACTGGCTCCAATCGTTTTAATTCCATTTTTTGTAGTGAATGCTGACAATTTGGTTGCTCCTTTAAATGCATTTGTCCCAATATCCAATTTATCAGTTCCTTCATAGACAAAACTGGTGATATAAGTGTTGTCCTTAAAAGCATTTTCACAGAGTGGCATTGCATCAGCAGCCGATAGAGTAACCACCGCATTACATTTTGTTGTTGTTCCGTCTTTAATGCATTTCTTATCCTTATCTTTAGAATAACAAGGTTCTGCTCCTAAAGTTGAAAGTGTGAGATAGAGAAAGACTATTGCGAACATTACACTGAATGATCAACAGAGATTTGTCAATGTTTTTATAGAGTATGATTTTTCCAAAAAAATGAACATTGAATGCCACATTAAAAACTTTTGGACAAATTTTTATTGAAGTGAATGAAACCCACTCAAACCCATTTCAAACATTTTTAAAAACTAATAGAATCGATTTCACTGGTTCAAATTAAAAATAAATATAAAGTAATAAAAATTATACTAAAATTAAAATCTTTTTATGAAACTATAATTTTATTCATTTGTATCATTTTATTTTAATTGCCAAATTTTGCAACAACACATTTTTTTAATTTTTATTTTATTCTTTTGCACACAAATTGTCAACAAAATCATGTTAACATTTGAAAAAGTTTGCTTATAATATAGAACCTATATTTTAGAACATGTATCAAATAATTAAGGGTTATTTAATAATGTTTATAAATAACTTTCAATATATTTGTTTGGTTTTTTTTGAAAAATACGTTTCATCATGGCAAGACAAATCTATTGAAAATAAAGTTATATTTTCTGAAACTGTTGTTTTTTTTAATACCAAAACATTTAAAGATAAGTTCGAAAAAAAAAGACAAATTTTAGTTATTTAACTTTTTTCTAAACCTTTATAAACAAAATATAATGGTAAACAATATTTAAATTTGTTTGTAAAAAATAGACCAATTTTATATTTTGATATATTTTTGTGTCCTTTTAAAAATAACAATTTGAGCGAGACTTTGAAACACATCTTTGACATTAATTATAAGCTTAAAGAACATTCAAAAATGACATGCCCCATTTATTTGCCAGTTCCTTACCTTTCTCTTTTGTCGCTTCTCGTTCGTTTTCAAGGTGGCATTATGTTCCACTCAAAATAAAGGTAGTGTGTATAAAAATATGGCTGTTTACTTTTCCAAACTTGATCTTTGATTACCTCACCTTCTTCAAAAGAAGCAAAAAATGTAATGGAATAACACAAAACAAATGCCTCATCATATTGATATTCACATTCAATATAATATTGGTAAGTTTCTGTATCAACATATTCTCGGTTGTGTGGCAGGTCGATAAACACAAAATTGATTTTTTTATTATTTAATGTGTTATTTGTTAAATAAATATCTTTTTTAATATTTGGTTCGTAATTAGGTATAATACAAATATTTTTAATGTTATTATAATAATTGATCGTTTTTAAATTAAAAATTAAAATATTTTTCAAAAGTCTGTACTGACCCTTTATTTCTTTTTTTAAAATCCAATTTTTTAACATAAACCTTATTTCAAAAAACGGACCCAGTGTTATTTTTATACCTTTTGGTGTTTTTTCGTCTTTTTTATCTTATAAAAGTACTTTTACTTACTCAGAGACCTTCTTAACAATATGAAAAAACGACTATTTTTTGTTCAACTTACATAGGTTTCAGCTTAAATTTCTTAAATAATTCGGACCTTGTTTTTTTCATAGAAAACGGTCTGATTAATTTTTTTTATTTTTAAAAAAACAATAAAAATATAAAAAATGTATTGTAGTTATTATCAGAGTTTCTGTTTTTTTAGGTAAAAATCCTTAAATTTAACGATATAATATAGTATATTTTTAAATTAAAAATTGTAAATCATCACAAAAGACCACAATAAAATGTATATAATTTTAGCCATAATAATACAAAAAATTAATTATAATAAAGTATGTAATTATTTAATAATTTAAAAGAATAAATGGGAAAATAAAAATAATTAAATGACAACTTAAACATCAAACTCCATTAAAAAGTTTAAAATGACCAAAAATAAATTCAAATTTGAAAATTTACCACAAAGATTTTCTTTTTTATCACAAAATCATTTCAGACAATATCATTGATTTAATCAATTTGTTATCTTAATATAACTGATAAATATCAAATGGAACCTTTTACTGTAACCGAGGTTGTAGAAATGACAAGAAAGGGATTATCAATTAAAATAAATCAACTTCTTATATGTTTTTTATCTCAAAAATTTCAAGACGATTTATTCGTACAAGTGTTTGACAATCAATTCGATGAAGAAAAAATCAAATTATTAGAAACAATGTCTATGGGTCCATTTTCTATTAATCAGCTAGATGTTGAAGTGTTAGTTGGTCAAACTTCAACACAAATGACATTTTCTTTGCCTTTTGGATATTCAAATAAATCTAAACAAGAACTTACAATTGAAAAATTAACAAAAAGAATGGAGATACTTGAAAACAAAATGATGATGTTGGGTAATCAGTCTTCCAATTCTTTTAGAATAATTCCTCCAAGAATTCAATTGGATAAAAAACAATCAAAAGAATTAAATATTAAAAATGTATAGACAATGGTAAGAAGTTCGACAGAAATAATAAAAATGTTTCGAGAAAATTATATGGAATCACATGGTAAAACGCGTTTACTACGCGCAATGAAAATTTATCGAGACATCCAAATCATGAAAAGAGGAAGACCAAATAAATCGGTGTTAATGGAAAAATATATAATAAAAAAACAAATAAATTTCCAGAAGAAAGTTGTAAGAAATGTGCAAAAGCAATAAGTCGGTATTATAAAAATCCGTTATCCAATTCATCTGTTTTTAGAATAAGAAAACAACAAAACTTTTGTTTTAAAAAACAAAAGTTGAACAATTTTTATCACACAAAAACACAAGAGACAGAAAAATATTTGTCAACAAAGAAATATCTTTGTTCAATTCTTTAAATTCTAAAAATGTCGGAAAAACAAGAAAAACTAAAATTATAACTGTATTTTCCGATGAAAGTCGGTTTTGTTTACAAAAATGATTGCAAAGATGGGGAAAAACGTCTTTGGATTAATAAAGATAATTTGTCAAAAAATTCATATTTTAAAGCGGTCAAACATAGTTCATCTGTCATGGTTTTTGGTGCCATTGGGTACAACTTTATAATTAGTTTGGTTTTATGTGAAGAAATTTTAAACCAAGATAGTAATGTCCACATGCTTAATGATTCGGGTGTTTTAATTGAATTAAAAAATATATAGAAAACACTTCCGTTTCATGCAAGACGGCGCACCAGCACATCAAGCCAAAAACACTCTCAAGTTTTTAGGTTCAAAAGGTATTTCTGTACTTGATGGTTGGTTTGGCAACTCTTGTGATTTGAATCCCATTGAACATCTTTGGGGAATAATAAAAACACCGAAATATCAATGGGAGATTCAAAAATGGAAATTATCGACAAGTTGAAAAAATCATGGGACAAAATATCACAAGCAACAATTAATCGTCTCGTTGAAAGTTATCCAACAAGATTACTTATGTGCAGAAAAAAATTAAATATATACCCATTATCAGGCTTATGAACAATGCTCACGGGTTTTAAATACATTTTTGTTACTATTTTAAAATATAATAATTTGAAAAAATAACAAGAAAAAATACAGTTAAAATATAAATAAAAATTGGGTGTATAGTTATAAATATATTTGATTGGACCATTTTTAGTGGTCTATTTTATGAAATAAGGTTTACAAAATTTTTAAAAAACAAATTAAAAAAAATAAAAGTACAGACTAAATTTTTTGAAAGAAACCAATCCCGTTTCAATTTTTTATGATAATTGTTAGGAAATTTTTACAACATTTGGGCCATGGTAAGACAAATTCCTTGAAATTCAAGTATTAAATCCCAAAACTATAGTCTTTTTTAAACTAAAACAATTTGAAGAAAAGTTCGATAAAAAATTGACAATTATCACAATTATAGCTTTTTCATTTTTTTAAAAAACAACAAAAAATGGTGAACAATATAATAATTTGTCTGTAAAAGAGAGATAAATATTACATTTATTGACTATAAATTAAATACATGTTACATCAAAAAAAATCAAATTGATAAAAATTTACAATATTTGTGTTAAAAAACAAGTATTATAATAATAAAAATATAATACATACATTTTTAATGTTTTTATAGAAATTGATCGTTTTTGAATTAAAATAATATTTTTTAATTTAATAAATTAGCATTGATATATGCCTAAATGAACGGGATTATTTTTCATGTGTTTTGACAAAAAGTAACGAAGTAAAATAAGTGTTTTTGTAAATGGAATTTATAGACAGAATAGTTGTAGTATAATATAATAAAACTATTTTTTAACAGCAAAAAACATGAACAAAAATATCAAATCATGAAATTAGTGTTTTTTAAGTTTAATTATAATATTAAACTTGTTTCATAAAAGCGTCATTTTTTTCAGTTACGATTTTGTGAAAAATATGATAATAATTAAAAATAATTTTAAGTACTTTGGGTATTAGTCTTGCAATATTTTTGTAATTTTTTCTTGTACACAATTTCAACCGTTCACTATAACTTTCAACTTACTTGTTAATATTTTTGATATATTTTTTACAAACAACATGACACACTATAAAAATGTTTTTATTATTTGTATTATCTATTTATTATTTATATTTCAAATATTACTACAAATGCTCAATTAGATTTAAGTCACAACTCAGAGCTGGCCAATTTTTAATGATAAAATGTTTTTATTATTCAAAAACTAAAGTGTACAGTAAAAACTTTAAAGAGCGGGCTGGTGTGGTAATTTTGTTTTTTTTCAAAAGTGGGCATTTTAAGCCAATCAAACCTTAATTACCGCTCTATAAAGAACTTTATTTTTGTTTCATTGAAAAGTACCATCTTTTGAGAGAATCAGTTTTTCAAAAGTACCGTTTTTGAAAAGTTTTACTGTATTTTGATTTGTGCACATTGGCGTTGTATTTCATATTTTTTTCCTTTTGATTACGTTTTAATTGTTTCATTTTTATTATTGTATTGCTTTTATAACGTTTTGATTATTATGGAGGTTTAATACTAAATTGATTAAAAGTAAGTATATTGTATAGTTTTATAACTTCTATATTGATACACAACTTTATTTTTTGCTTTTTATATATTATTGAGTCAATAGTTGTTTGATTTTGTCATAATTTCTCCAGTTATCT